AATGCAGCTTGACTGAGCGCTAAACTGTGTTTTTGCCCCGAGCCAATCAGGAGCCTCTGACAGGAGCCTGTTCCCACTTACAAATCTAATTGCAGGAGGTGTGGCTGTGGTGGCCCTAGGAGCATCAAGAGAAGGGGGCTGCCAGCCCCTCTAGGAGGGCAGCTAGCAGTCTGCTGCTTGCTTGTTGCTTTCAAAGTCACAGAGCCACACAGGAAGGGAGGTAGGGAGCAGAGGTCTTGGGGGCCTGGGAAAACCCAGACTCCAGAATTTCAGCCAGTTTATCTTAATAGGTATCAATGATTTAGCAGGCACTATGCACTGTACATTCATAATCTTCTCTAAGCCTCTTGACAACTACATAAAATGATGATTACTTCATTTTACAGATGTGAAACTGAGGTACAGTGTCCTAATATATGTTAGGTATTGCCCTAGGTCTAAGAACTTTATTTACATTATCACTTTTCTCTTTCCTTTTTAAGAGAGGAAAGAGAGAATTTTAATATTTATTTTTTAGTTTTCGGCAGACAAAACATCTTTGTATGTGGTGCTGAGGATCGAACCCGGGCCGCACACATGCCAGGTGAGAGCGCTACCGCTTGAGCCACATCCCCAGCCCTACATTATCATTTTTCTTAAACCTGCCTGCTGCCAGTGTAGTGGCGCACACCTGTAATCCCAGTGACCCAGGAGGCTGAGGCAGGAGCATTGCAAATTCAAGGCCAGTCTCAGCAATTTAGCAAGACACTTATTAATTTAGTGAGACCCTGTCAAACAAACAAACTAACTAACTAACTAAATAAGTAAAAAGGACTGGGAATACAGCTCAGTGTACAATCCCCAGTATCAAAACACGAACAAAAAAATCCAACTCCCTCCTACTATATCCCATTTTACAGATGAAGAGGCACAACTCAAAGAGAGGAAGTAACTTGCCCAAGGACACAGAGCTGATTTATAGATAAGCTAGGGTTGAACTTGGGTCTCTGTGACTCCAGAGGATACACATTTTAATTGTACTGCACTGTGCCTCCATTAAGTCCTGGGCAGGAATGCCAGATTTATTGAAAAACAAAACAAACCTTAAATCTGAATTTCAGATAAACAATGAGTTTCTTGAGTATTACAACAATATCCCAAATATTGCATGGGGTATATTTGAATTAAAATCTATTCATTGTTGATCTGAAATTTGAGCAGAACTGAGTGTTCTGTGATTATCTGGCAACCTTAGACCTTCTTTCTCCTCCTGCCCCTGGCTCCCTTCTCCTATGCCAACAACTTGCCCTTAAACGTGGGGCCCTTTGGGAGCAGGGGTGCTGCTGTATCTCTAGATTGCTGAAGGGGTAAACAAACCCTTCAGCTGCAGAGGGCACAGTCCTGGGTCTCTGTCAACTTTGCTCCTACTCTGTGACTTTGGGTAAGACTTTCCCCTCTTTGAATCCTCTCACAAGACCACCCAGTATCTGGTCCTAAGTAACTGCCCACCCTAACTTTCCTAACGTCTTCCCTTTTTCCTGTGTGTGGGGCTGTACCTGGGTGAAATCTATGGGTATGCTGCCGTGAGGACAGAAGACTCCCAACACCCGGGACAGGGAGCTCCAGGCAGGCAGTGCTGCTCAGAGGAGACATCTGGTGTGGAGGGATGTGGGGAGGAGGCTGAGCAGGAGAACTTGGGAGGCTGGGGGTGGAGACCGCCAGGAAATAGGTTATTGAGTTTTTTTTTTTTTTTTGGTCAGTGGTGGGTTTGGCCTGGGTTTGAGACCCCCAACACTCCCCTGCATGTAAAGGCTGTGTGAGCTTGGCAAATTCCTTGATTGAAGGAAATGGCTCTGCTTCCTCAACTGCAAAGAGCAACCCATGTTGCCATGATCCATGTACAGTGCCTGGTATGCAGGAGGCACAAAAAGGGAGCTATCGCTGCTGCTGCTGCTGATGGCATTAACATCATATTCATCCTTCTGAAATCAGCCCCTCCAGAAAGGCTACCCTCTGCAAGGGCGGGCCAAGCCATCCGGGCCCTCTCCTGGAACTTCTGCAAAGAGCACACCTCATTCTGGGCTGCCTTCATTTCAGCTGCATTTTATTTGTCGCGTTTTTGACAGACGTCTAAATTATACATTGAGTTTTCCACATGACCAAACACCACGTCCCTTCCTTTGATTATCATTTTCAAAAGGGACTATAAAAAAAGAACCTTTCGATGGATCAGACTGAACCCTGAAACCACATGGAGAGCAGAACTAAAAATAAAAGGAAGTAAGAAGCGGCCCCTGAGAAGGAAAGGAAAGAGAAATCAAAGCACACGGTGATGGGAATCGAGAGACGAGTCCTGGTGAGGGTGGCACGGTGTCACCCTCCAGGCCAGGCCGGATAAGGAGCAGCCGACAGTGAGGGTGGGGCACAGAGTGGCACAAAAATAGCCACCACTTTAGTCCAGAGGGGAATAAAGAAATTCGTCAAAAGCCAGGGGAGAGAGAAGTGGAGATGGAGGAGGAGGGAGGACAGGGACAGGACTTGTCATCCTGCAGCTACCCTGGCTGCGGACTTCTCTAACCCTGGCATGGTGCTCACTGCTGGCATAATCGCTGACTTTCAGCTGTGCACCGGCATGTTCCCCAGCTCAGCCCACATCAATGACACCCTTGTTTCCATAGTAACCAAGGGAGAACGAAGGGGAAAGGGTGCATTGCACTGGGCGCAGGGAATCCAGCCAAAAGCAGCCTCAAGGGGTGGGTGGGGAGGAGGGGAGGACTCAGTTTTTCCCACAGCTGATTTGAGCACACACTATGGCCCGCCTGGGCCTGGCCTGCCCTCTGGCCCCAGCCTTCAACCCTGCACATTCAGATGCAGCAACCCAGCAATCCTGCCGAGAGCAAAAGTCTTACTAAGGCCCACTGGGGTGGGGGTGGGAGTGGGGAGAGGGGTATCCCCTTTCTATCTTCAGATTCTGTCTTCTGGTCATGGCCACAGGGGGCGGGGAGGTGGCGCTGGGGAGAGAAAAGGGGACTTTAAAAGCATATTGTTTTTCCAAACGGGAGCTTTCAAATTCTGCATTTTCCAGGCTCCTCTCATCTACCCTCTGAACCTCGGGAGGGTTCAACAGGGCTCACAGGGAAGATGAAAGCGTGTGACATCACCATGTGTCTCTAGCTGAAGCAAATGGGAACATTCACAGAGGCTGTCATGAGAGCAGGGCAAGCGGCTTCTGCCTGCTCCTTGGGTCTGGGGAGCGCTTTTCAGGACAGTTCCTGAAGTTGGTGGTAAGAGACCAGAAACATTTTGCAGACTGTCTACCGCCAGAGTCAAAGTTCCCTATTGAAGTGCTCCAAAACTGCAGACCTCAAAGCAGGCATTTTGTCCTTCAGAGGACATCCCTGGTGTACTATTTGGAAGAAAAAACAACTTTCAAGGGTTGGAGTCACATTTCCAGCCTGCCAGAAGTGGCATTTCCAATTCCTCCTGGTTCTATTTTGCTACTCTTCAAAGTGAGAGAGGAGCTGGGGAGAACCAGAGAAGTCAGTCGCAGGAGCCGAGGATGCAGGGAAAGTTGGCTCAGTGGTTAGACAACTTCGCCTTTTGTTCTGCAAGCCCTTCCAGGTCTTTCCACAGCCACCTCAGGGCACCTTTTCCCAGATGTCTTTGTTAATGGCTTTCACTCTAGACAGCCTTTGAAACTGGCCAGGCTTCTGTCTCTCCTGCCTAACTCTTGTCCGGAAAAAGCTGGGTACACAGGGTTGGGGGCTGCAGTGTCCCTTGGCCCTTTTCTGTCTGCTCACGTGCCGTGGTAGGTTTGGAAAGGGCCACCTCCCAGGATGAGAAGGCAGCTGGCCTCCAGGACCCACCAGGCACTGGACAGTCTCTTATTCATTCTCAGAAACCCCTGAGTGGAGGTCCAGAGCAGAGTTGAATTCAGGAGCGGGTCGGGCTCTGGCCTGCTTTCCCGTGCTGGAAGGCGGGGGTTTCCAAAGGCTCAGGGAAACAAGCTCTTTTTGCAACACAGGGCAGGACAGGCTTCTGCCATTCCTCTCCAATCAATCAACAGAGGACACATTTTACTGGAGAGGGGCAGGGGAGACCAGCAGCTGGGTGACTGGCTTCCTTGGGCATGACCCCCACCATCACACACCCATGTCCTTCCCAGCAGACCCCTCCACCCATGTGCATCCCACACCTCGTTGCCAGCACTGTAAAAATTGATCTCTTTGCAAAATTGATCTGCCTGGCTTTTCTCGGTGGAGCAGGTTCATGGTAAAGCTGCATTTATTTTTAAAATCTGATAGCAGCCGCCTATTGTGATCATTTAAACACAGAATTCTTTGAGCTTTAGAAATCCCTTCTATAGGAGGGCCATGGAGAAGCCAGCTAATCTCAGAGTCGGCTGCTCACTGCTCCACTGAACTGGAGAAAGCCTGTTTACGCTAGCCTGAGCCCTTGATGTGAGGGCTTTTTAAGGACCTTGTAATTTTTCTGGAATTAAACCTCCCACCTCTCCTTACATTCCAGATGTCATTACAGTCAAAAGTCATAAGAATTTGCTTCCCTGTGTGGCTGACTTGGGGCGGGGGCTGGGGTATGTTTCTGTAGTGACTTGTCTGCAAGGATTTTTTTTCCTGTCCAAAGGGTGAAGATTACATACAGTTTCCCACCTGCATGACAAGATGGTTTAATCATCTGCTGTCCTTCCCCCTCCCCGATTCAGTCTGCTGGACAGACTGAAGCCCTGGCTCAGTTGGCCATGGCAGAAATCACCAACCAGCACCAGCCAACACTATGCTTCCCGACCACAAGGGTGGGGGCAGGGCAGGGGTGGGGGGAAGGACAGGTCAGTAAATAAATTAACTCAGCATAAGCAGCTTCTTCCTCTTTTTCTTATCTTTTTTTTTTTTTTGAAAGAAAAAAAGCCCACTGGAATTGTCTAAACTGCAATGCAATCTCTTGCTCATTTAAAAGATCTCATTTTCTAATCATGTGCTTTGAGACATTTAATACTATTTCAATTATGCAGAGGAAATAATATAATTCCTTTATTTGAAAAATGATACTGAACCTCAGAGATCAGTTAAATCTACTGCTGGGATGGGGATTCTTTTTAAACTGTGTTGTTCCCTCTCTTCAAACAGCTGTAGCTGTACACAGATGGAAAAACATTTGGTCAGAAAGCAGCAAATCAGTGTTTTTCAGGACCCAACTCGGTTCCCGCAGCTCCTCCGTCTCCATTTGTCTAGATTTTATTTCTTCTTTGCATTGACATTTTTGCAGACCCAGTTCATGCCATCCTTTGAGGGAAATAGAGAAAGAAAGTGTTAGTTTCAGGCAAGGCCCGGCAGGCTCCAGCCTCGGGAGGGGAGAGAAGGGAAGGGCAGGGGGCATGTGTCCTCCCTCCAGGGGACTACCAACTCTAGGCTTGCCCCAGGGGCCCACCTGGATGACCAGGGACAGTGACTTCCGGGGGAGGAGCAGGGAGGTCTCTGAGGGCACAGGAGGGAGATGGGAGGGGGAGGACCCAGCATCTGAACTTCAGATGGGTCCTCAGGAACTCCCTCTGAAAAAATAAACACATCTGCCTGGATCCAGGCCTGATTAAGGAGCTATCAGGAAAGATTCCAGCCATTTTTGGCTTTTTCTAAAAGCTGACCTTTGCTAGGGCATTAAATTCAATAAGCCACCCTTCTGGTGCCCCGGTATGTTTACAGTGTGACAGTGTACACTTGGGTTAAATTAAATTTCTTTTTGGAAAAACAAACCCTCTGCAGTATGTGTTCCTAGACACACTCGGGGGCAATGTGCGTTTATTTCTCTTCTTGCTGCACTACAGATAGGCTTAAAAGGGCCTGCTTCTTGTACCTTTAAGCTCTCCCAAGCTGAGGGACTAGAGAGAAGGTTTCCTTAAAGGCACACTGACCTTGAAAGTGTCCTCTCTCAGAAGGCTGGAGAGGGACCGAGGTAAACCACACAATGCCTACAGCCACCTGGCAGGCAGCACAATTCCTCATGGATGCCAGGCCTGTCAGACATGACCTCCTTTTCCACCCCCTCTGGAGCCATACCTGGACGCGCTCCCCTTCCCCAGAGGCTCCCTGACCTTCAGGAGTGTGGGGAGGGAGTTCCCTTCCAAGCCCTGAACAAAATCCAAGGCGGCCCCTGCAATGAATCCCCTTCCCCGAATCTGGGTCCCACACATTTGTGCTTATCAGGCAGACATGACACCCCGAGCCCGCATTTCCTGTGGCCATGGATCTAACTGCTGAACCTGAACGGCTGAGACAGCTTACAGTAATAAATATCAGCTGACACCCTTGGCCATTCGGAACATTAATCCCATAAACAATACATCACTGCAAAACAACCAGCAGGCATCCTCTCTCCTGGCTAATCTCACTGTCACCTGCGTTTACAGTGATTAAAACTCCAGTTGCCATCAGAACACTTGGGCAGGAGAACCAGATAACATGAGCAAACCTTATGGCCTTGCCAAGACAAGGCTGGCCAGGGCTGAAAGCCCCAAGGCGAGAGCACCTGGCCACGGTGGGGCAGGTGGAGGAATGCAGAGTGGGCACAAGGCAGACGCGTCTCTAATCACAACTGGGTCAGCCGCACACTCTGAAACACGGAGGCCAATTTTAAGACCATTTTATGGAAAGGATTAATTTAAAGAGAAGCATGTTTAATTTTAGCAGCTAATTGGTTTCCAGGAAAAAAAAAAAAAAAGATCACCTGCCAGGAGACAAAAAAAGATTTTACAAATACAAGAGGCATGGATAAGATAACCGTCTTCTCTTGCCTCCGAAGCTGAACAGCTCAGCACTTGCGCAGCATTTCCATCTTCAGGAGCCTGCACAGACGGCCAAAGGTGCCACCGCAATGCTCTCTCCTCTACAGACACTCGCCACGTTGGATCAGACCAGCTGCTCCGAGAATCAAGAACAGTGTCCCCACATGATATGAATACCGCTTCATCTTTTTTTTGTTTTGTTTTGTTTTGTTTTATGGCTGATGAAGGAGGGGGTTTTCTTTATTATAAGTAACTGAACATGAGTGCAGGCAAAGAGATAGGAAAATATTTACTCAGCTGCAGGGACTCAAAAGAGAAGGTAGAGGGTGAGGGAGCCTTGCCCTGGGCATCCGCTGTGGAGGTGGAGCGGGGTTTAAAGGGCGAGCCCTGCTGAGGGGCAGTGTTCTCCAGATGTCTAAGGACCTGCAATGGTGAGGCCTGTGTGGCCTCAGTGTCGCCAACAGAGGGCGCTCTCGAGCCAGCACCCGCTGACCTCAGGCCCCAGGGCCCCCACTGCTACCCTCTAAAGCTGGAGGAGCGTGGGAAGTACCCAAGTCTTAATGGAGGTAAAGCCCTGTGGCTGCCCTGGGCTTGGGGAAGCCCTTTGATCCAAAGTGTTTGTTAGAGTTGGAGGTGGGAGGTGACAATCAACAATTCAGGTGACAATACCTCATAAATCATACTGGGGAAAGCTTTGTCAAGGAGACCACTGGAAAGGAAAGATAATAGTGTTGTCCAAGATCCCCAAGGGGGGCGTCCAGTGGGACTTGCTTGATGTCGTGTCCCCTGAAGCTGGCATGGTGTCTGGCCTACAGTTAACAAATTTGTATCTTTTAAATTAATCCTTGTAACAACCCTGTGAAGTAGGTGCTGTTATCATTTCCATACTTCAGATGAGGAAATGAAGACCAAAGTTGTCCGGGGCAGAGGTGAACCGTGAAGCCAGGCAGCCTGGCTCCAGCTGGCCGTATCCCTGCTCTTGAACACTTACTAATTCTCTGTGACTGTGGGTCAAGGCAAGGGCTCTGCCTCCAGCTTGGCGAGGAGCTGGGCGGCACCCTGAAGGGGCTAGTGTTTTCTTCCTCATGGCTTCAGCAGAATACAGAGGCCAGGGGGCCTGGGGACACCCTGTACAACTCTGCTGATGCTCCGAAGGTGCCACAGGCTGTTCCTGGCCACAGAACTCTCAAGACTCCTGGGTGCCAGCATCTAGGCCTGCGGAAGGGGCAGGTGATCCTGGCATATTAATTACCCTCCTAGAACATCCCCTCCAGTGGAAACTACATTTAGAAACAACATAACTGCAAGCAGAGGAAACTTCTGATCCTTACAATTTTTTTCATTTGTTCTTTTTTTTTTTTTTTTTGGTACCAGGGATTGAACTCAGGGGCACTTGACCACTGAGCTACATCTCCAGCTCTATTCTGTGTTTTATTTATTTATTAAAAAAATTTGGGGGGGGTTGTTGAGGACCTTTATTTTTATTTGTTTATATGTGGTGCTGAGAATTGAATCCGGTCCCTCACACATACTAGGCAAGCACTGTACTACTGAGTCACAACTCCAGCCCTTGTATCTTATTTAGAGACAAGGTCTCATTCAGTTGCTTAGCACCTCTCAGTTGCTGAGGCTGGCTTTGATCCTCCTGTCTCAGCCTCCAGACACTAGGATTACAGGCATGTGCCACTGTGCCTGGGCTTCTTACATTTTTAAGCAAATGTCCCACACCACTCCTGCTTTCACCTGGCAAGACTCTTGTTTCTGTAAGACAGACAACTGAGAAAAGATGATTGCTTACTTGAAGTAGGCTTCTCTCTGCCTCCAAAGAAGGAAATGAACTCACAGGTTTGTTTAATGGTTAACTCTTTATTGTCAAAAAACTGGTTTGACCAATTTCCTGCACATTTGATCTTCACTATGGGGATATGATCTTTTTTTGGGAGGGGGTTAATGGGGAATAAACACAGGGGCACTCTACAACAGACCTACATTCCCAACCCTTTTATTTATTTACTTTTTTGAGACACCACCTTGCTAAATTATCAAGGTTGGCCTCGAACTTGTGATCCTCCTGTCTCAGCCTCAGGAGTAGCTGAGATTATAGGTGAGCACCACTGCACCCAATTGGGAGTCGATCTTTGGCAAGAATAGCCCACCCTTTCTTTTTCCATTGCATTTTCTCCTGACTAGTTTCTTGCTGAAACTGAATTTAAATTGACTAGCTTGAATTCAATAATAGAAATTAAAGAGAGAGACAGAACCTCAAATACTGAGCCCCAGCCTTATGAAAAGGAAATAAATTTCTCCCCGTCACAATATTGTTCTCCACTATAAGCACTGGGAGAAATAGAAGGCTGTCCCTAACTATGTGGGTGGAAACCTACTAATCACCAATTCCCGTGTCTCAGGATTTAAGGCACACTGCTTCTTTCTTTCTTTGTTTTTTAAAAAATATTTATTTTTAAGTTTTAGATGGACACAATATCTTTATTTTATATTTACGTGGTGCTGAGGATTGAACCAGTGCCTCGTGCATGCTAGGCAAGCACACTGAGCCACAATCCCAGCCCCAAGCCACACTGCTTCTTTCTATGGGAGGGGTAGTCTCTGACTGCACTCTTCTTTTTAATTTGATCTCAGTCCAGAGCATCCATCACTGCTGGATGGTTGGAAGGAAGCAGTGGCAGCCATGGTTGGATGGACCTGGTTTTTAAAGCCATGCTGGTTGTGTGGTCACTTTAGTAATTGCTTTAAGATGATGAGGAGCTCAGACCCTTGCTGAGCAATGTAGCCCTTCCCATTGTGCCATAGGCCCCCAGGGTCAAGGAGCAGCTGGATACAGCATACATAAAATATTGCTTCCTATTAATATTTTTCTAGTGACAAAGGGCACCACACCAGGGAGGATGCAAAAGCAGATGTCCTGAGCTTGCTTTCTTACTCTACAGAAAGGTTTGAAAATTTAAAAATAAACCTGAGCTCTGACTCACAGATAAGCAGCTCCACGTACACCTGGAGATGGCAACAACTGATGCCAGGCCTACAATGAAGTAGTATTTCATTTTTTTAAATATTAAAATTTGGGGTTGGGGTGTAGCTCAGTGGTAGAACATGTGCATACATGAGGCCCTGGGTTTGATCCTTAGCACCAAAAACAAACGAAACCTATGAAATTCTATTGGCATATTAGGGAAAAGTCTCCTAGATCAAGGAAAAAGAAGCAAAGCCAAGGAACTGGGCTAGTGAAGGACCAGGGCTCATCTGTGGGGCTGGCTGAAGCCATCACACTTCTGCATGCAGAAGGCAAGTGACACTTGCTGCGGAAGGGAGGCAGCTGGGAGACTGCTGTCACCTGGATCATCACTCCTGCTCAGAGAAAGATGAGGGGAACAGGGGATAGATATAAAATGAAAAGGTGGGAATGAGGGGGTGGTCTGGAAAACAGCACCAGGAGACATTAAATTATGCTAGCTCAGAGCCATTGGTACAGGACTAAGTGCAATG